CGGTATGTAAAAACATTGCAACTGATTCATGTATCCCTATATTTTTAGTTTCTTTTAGACCATGTTGTTGCAATTCTTCCACCAAACTTAAGAACACATCCCGTTCCATCCTAAACATGTTATAACAACGACTGGAGTTGCCATCTAAAACATCCCTTACCCATATGCAGCCTGTATAAGCACTTGTATGCCGAGGCTCCTTACACAAGTTCAAAGTAGCGTATGCACCAACCAATGCTGCAACTTTGTTAACCCTTTTTTTCCGTCCCTTAGCATGCTCTTCCACATGTTTAATTTCATCATCCATATTCGTTTTATCCTGTGCACATACACATAAAGTTTAGAATTCCTACGTAGAAATTACGAAACATTTATAAAAGTTACAGAGTTGTCTGATTCATATAACAATCCACTGGTCACATAAAACATACACATATGGAACTGTCTAATATAATAAACAAGTCATAAATCCCTAGTATAATGCTCTAAAATGGGTAGAAGTTGTTCCTTCTGATCCTTCAGAGCTGCATACATTTCCCGTGCCTCCGGCCGTTCCATAAGGAGTTGTGTGCACCGTCTAAAGAAATCGGGATCACTGACAACTTCAGGAATTGTTTTCAGGTGAGACAGGACTCCCCTAATTGAAATTTCATAAGCACGCGCTTCTTCTTCCAACCTTCTAGCTTCTGCTCGTGAAATGACCTCATTTCCACGCTCGGCCTCAGAAATATTTGTTTCAGCAATCTTGCTAATTGCATCCGCTATTTTCATAGAGGGAGATGTGCGTTTCTTCTTGACTTCACTCTTCCTTCTGACCCCCAGTGAGCTACTAGGTCGACTCCTACCTCTGCTTGTACCCCCACCACTGGTATCCTGCCTCAATTCAGTGTTGCCTCCACTACCTCCACTATTATCATTGAAGTTCACTGTGTTAAATTCCCCACTTATACCAGTTGGTGCGCCTAAAATTTCATCACTATCTCCGGACCCTTCTTCCAAATCTTCATTCGGTGTTCCTTCACTTGGAAGTGTCATGGAAGAAGGTGCCCATGCCTGTGGTCCAGTTGCAGCCACACTCCCAAATAGTTGAGTCAACTGATCCCTAAATTGAAGTCCTCTTTCTCTGAATTTTTCGTAGTTTGGAACTTCCTGCACATTAGACACCAATAATATCATAAAATATTCCAAAAACAGTAAATATACACAAAATATTAACAAGTAGAGAAAATGTAAGATCAAAATGTTTAATAATTACCCTTATTTTTCTCTCCCACCAATCATCAGTTGCACTGACAGTATTCCTTTCAGTATCCCATCCCAATCCTGTCTCACGAAGCAGCCTATCCCATGTCTGCCACTCCTTTCGTAGGGAATCATATTTATTCTTAAATTGAGCTTTTTCATACACTCTTCCAGTTTTGGCTGTAAAGTTATCACTAAGAATATCCCAAGCTTTCTTTGTTAAGCTAGTACCTTTTCTTTCCCCTTGTTGCACAAGTTCAATGCAGAGGTCAATAAACACTTTTGTGGTTCGTAGGTCCCAGGAAGCTTTCACCGTATTCTTACGCATTATGCTATAGCACAATTATAGCTCTTCAGTCATCACAGGTTGATCAACTCAAAATCAATTGAAATAACACAAGAAAATTGTAATTTTAAATGGCCAGAAAAAATACACCCTTCCTATTCGGAACTTCATTATCTATTTTTGTTTAAAAATACTAACTTCTAAAACGTCAAAACTAACTAAATAATTATATATATTTTTTCCTTTTCTTAACTATTGTACAAAGATGATTGAAAGACAAAATAATAAGATAAATCATATTTGAACCATCATGCACCATAAATCATATTGTACTCAACTTTTACAACAACTGTGTATTACAAATAATTTTCAAAAAAATTCGTTCATGTGTGTAATTAATACAAATATTCATGATGAATGTAATTATTGATTTGTCAACTGAAAATATAAAACACCAGCACTATAAACCTCTAACCAAAATACAAATAACTTCTTTCAATATATACACGGATTTGAGTTGTGATTCTATTTGTCCTGGCTCTCAAAAATTGGTCATAAATTTATCAAAGTCATTAATACAATAATTCACGACAACACATTCCTGCCTCACATTCCAAAAATAAAAGCAATGTCCCAATATATTGTTCGACTTCACAGGCTTCTTCTGGGCGAAATTGGACAGGAAAAAAGGATCCCACGCCAAGCAACCAGAGCAAAACGAATTTGCATTTTATATACCCAGTGGAATTCAATTCGCAGGCTTTCTCGTCTCCAAAACAATATCACCAAATATATTCCCTGCCTCCAGAATCACATTTCGTTTCATACAAAAATCAAGCAATAAACCAGCAATCAAATTTTCGGTTTACCACAGGAAAATACTGAAGCCAGCAATCTAATTTTTCGGTTAACCACAGGCAAAATACTGAAGCAAGCAATATCTCATTCCTTCGATCAGCATGCCAGTCATGAACAATTTCAAAAGCAAAATTGGGAGGAAGTTTCCAAAATCGTTCGGTTTAGCACAGACACAATACTGAAGCCAACAATTAATTTTTTTTTCCACCGGAGATAGCTTACCTGACCAACGGCGACCTCACCAACCGAGGACGAGTTGCCACGATCGGGCCTTCCACTGAGCTTTGCACGGCGACCTCACTGGGCGAACTACCGAGGTAAGAGATCGGAGCAGGGCCGGCGAAAGAAGGGGGAAGAGCTCAGCTGATGAAGCTCAGAGACGAGCTGAGTGAAGATCGACGGCGAGCAGCGACGGCGAAGTGAAGATCGACGGTGAAATTCGGAGCAGCTCCACGAGAAGACCGAACCGGCGAGTAGAGAAAGAGGCGAGCTTCCTCTGATGAAGGTGCGAGCAGAGCGAGCTTCCTCTGAGGATGAAGGCGCGAGCGAAGCGGATGGCGCGAGCGAAGCGGATGCCGCGAGCGAAGCGAGAAGAGTCCTCTGAGGATGAAGGCGCGAGCGAAGCGGAAGAAGAGTGAAGTGTCGGTCACAGCAGGGTATTTTGGGGTCAGATGTTGCCTCCAATTATTAGAGCCAGGAAGCGGAATTTTCTGGCTTATGGTGAAACCATGGTTTCACCGGTGGAAACCATGGTTTCAGCCTGGACCGCGTTTTGCAGCTGGAGCCTGCCTGTTTGGATGACTTCAGGTGCAAACCATGGTTTCAGCTTCCAAACCATGGTTTGCTTGGTCATCCAAACGCAGCCTTAGACTGATCCTAAATATAAAAATTAGTAATTAGAGATTTGTTTTGATCTTAAATATAATTTTTAATTTTTTTTAATTTTTTTAAATTGTAATTTTTTCTTTAAACTCTCCTTATTGATTGCACATATCATGATAATTTTATATAAAATGAGCAGTTTCCAATAAATTGATTAAGAGGTACTTTAGAGAAATCATATACATTTTTTTTATAAATAACTAACTTACTTAATTTTATTAATCATTGTGAATTAGTTACCTAGCTTAGGATTGAAGAGAGTAAATACTGAAGCCTCTCTAGTTGATTGTGTTAATGGAGATATATATATATATATATATATATTTATAGCTTGTTGTCGGTGAAGGACCTAATAATACAGTGGTACAAGGGAAGAAAGTTTATTAGAACTCTGTCACCCAGCGATCGTGAGTAAGAAGACAAGTGAAATTCGTCTGTCATTTAAGAATGTTTGGATTGACTTTTTAAAATTAATTTTACTATGTACAAGGTAAATATGCGGGAAAAATTTTATTTGGATTCACATAAAAATACTTTTGAGAAGCTGAATCAAACATCTCTGATGATGTTTCAAAATTCAACGCAGAAGTGCAGCATCTATGCTCTGCGAATGCCATCCCAGGATGATTGTTTTTGCCCAGAAACAGAGAAATGTGGTAATTCAGAGTCCCCAGTTCATGTTGTTTGTTCTTGGATCGTATACAGACCAACCCTTTCACCACTTTCTTTTGTAAGTAGGTGCACGTGGATATGATTATACTGGTGAAACTACAACCGATTCATTCTTACATTTGAGAGAGAGAGAGAGAGTTTAATTTGTTGGGGCCCGATTGGTACGCCGGAATTGGGCCCCGTTTCTGGTTCATTCCGACAATTGGGTTCACAGGTGGGGATGGACTCACTGCAACTTGCCTGGGGGCAGGAGGTATTATCCTTTTCCGTTTTTCTTTTTCTTTTTAATATTTTGATTTCTAATTTGGTTGTTGGACTTTTGCATGTCACTTTCTTCAAAAATACTTCTATAATATATATATATATAAAATATTCAATAGAGGAAATTATTCTTTCTTTCTTTTTAACTACTTCACAGGCATCACTAAAAATAGTTAAAGGAATTCAATTTTTCATAAAATTTAAATGATTCTCAATATTACCCTTATTAATCATGTTAAATTCCAATATCATTTTAATTTTCACTTTCTCTCACTGCACTTATTGAACATGAGCATATATGAAAAAAAAAAAAAGAAATACTTAATGCTTATTGAAACTATCAAAATGTCCTACAAAATGCAACAAAATTCCTTGTAAAAGATTTATTATAATATGAAAGGAAGGGATATTTTCACGAGAGCGATTAATAATGAAGAATGAAGAGAATTTAAATTTACACAACTCAAAACACCTCGCAATACCCAAAAAATATATGCTTAACATTTTCAACAAGAAACAAGGTTGTAACATGAGATTTTATTAGGTGACCAGCCCCTCCTCAAGCATTTCAAGTGAGCAACCAGGAATATGTCTGGATTGAAGAGGTGCAAAGGAGAGAAGTAACTTCAATATAAACAGTTTTGTTTAATTTAAGAATATGTTTTCCCTTTCCCATCTTTTCTTTTCCTTATCTTTTCAATCTAAACAATTCGAAATGAAAAATTATCATATTTGAGTCTAAAATTAAAAGAAATCCATCATTAAGATTTCTTCTTTCCTTTCTTCTCCATTTTTCTCGTGCACCACAATATTTTATTTAGAACATCCAAGACTTCAAGTCGCAGGCTTACTTGCTTTGTTCCACAAAAATACAGGGTGCCTCCATAGCTTGTGCAATCTTTTCCTCAATCTTAGCCAACGATCACCGTCATATCTCCTATATCTATATTCTGAAGTTCTAATCTCACGTCTAGAAGGCGTGCTATCATGTATAACACATTCACTTTCCTCCGAAATCCATAGTTTCTCCTTAATTCTCCATTCTATTCTTCCCAAAGTTGAAGTCCTTAAGAAGTTATCCTTGAGACTTGGCTTTTTAGTACAAGAATCTTCATTCTTCTCACAAGCTTCCTCACTGTTAAAGTTTGAAGGAAGGGGATCAGTTTCCAAATAGGGAGAATCTGAGCATGGAGAAAGCCGCCTCGCCTCAGCATTTGATTTGTCTCTTTCTCTAAGGACTTTCAGAATCAATGTCTTCAGGAACTTCACAACTTGAACTGCATGAGTCAATGCAGTCAAAGGATCCATTATCTGCATAACACCGGCCAATCATCACTGAGCACGCCATATACATAGATTGAAAGAATCACGCAGTACGAGCACTTAGATTTCCAAACATGTTTTAGATCGTTTGGAAATCTTATAAATCAATAATTATTTCATTTGGCTAAACATATCGCTAGTCAGGTAGGAGTTCTTGAGAAGGCTTCTCAGATAAAGAAATGATGCCATTGTGAAACATTAGGTTCTCTTGCTCGTAAATTTAAAGTTGGTAAACGAATGGGCTTTGGACAAATAAAACAGTTCCCTCCAGGTTTTGATAAACTAACCTGTGTCATGTTGGGAGCAAAAACCATAGCAATGTTGTGTGCGTTCATCTTGTTGAACTCTTGATGCTCCACAACATCTGCCATCAAATTGATGACCCAATGCAGCAGTGCTGCTTCTGTTGGAGAAAGCAACTTCACTAGACTAACACAATCCTCTTCTGCTTTACAATTTACCACCTGTTCCGGCGTGAGAGAATCTAGCACTCTTGTTGGAAGTTCTCTAAACCAAGCCTACAAGCCATGAAAAGGATGGTCAAAATGCGCAAAAGAGATTCTTCAAAGCTCCACAAAAAGCTATCAGCATTGACTGTAACATTTAACCTCTAGACGCAACAGTTAATAAATTGAGGCATACATTAGCTCCAAACTCAAACTCAACAGAAGTCCAAGCTCTTTTTGTGCACAAATCTTTCTGCAGAAATATGAATCAGGGCATGTTGGAGATGCCTTTCCAAGTAATTTGCAGACAGTATACAGAAAGATTTAGCGAAGATCCTAAAGACAATATTTTTCCACATGCTTAAAAGAACCATTGACAAAGCCATGATTTAGTGATAAGAACCAAAGGTGAAAACCGATTTGGCTGACAAAGTCGAGCAGGGTAAAAACCTTCGATGCAGTTTTTAAAGAGTTTTGCTGCTAGATTCTGTAATATAAACATGATATATGAAGATCAATTATCGAAGAATCAACAGTGTGATGCTGACCAATAAAGAATAACTACATTGGTTTCCTTTTATTGTAAAACCTGAACATAAGAACTATCCGTAGGTACCTTGATCAAACCAGATAAACAATGAACATCGGTTCCGTATGGGACTGCACCTTTGTTTAGCTGATCACGGACAGATTCCTCTTGGCTGCTCTCAGCATTAATTCGAAATATTCCTTCTACCTAAAGAAATAACCATGTTAGATTAAGCCTCAAACTTAAATTTATGATGAACAAGTTAAATGATTTCAGAAACTAATTGCTAACTGAAACATAACATACTTTAAGGCCTCCCTCGGAATACAGTTGCTTTTGCATTGACAGCAGAATTTTTGGGACGCAGTTTCCTCTGTCATCATAAGAGCATTCCATTGACTCTGCAGAAACCCCAAATACCTTCGCACTGAATGATATTAACGCGATATAAGAGCTAATGCCAAATAAACAGAAAGATAGATAGTTGAAAGACAAAAACAGATTGGCTCCCAGCTATTGCCTTCCATCAACAAACGCAAGACCACGTAAGGACAATTTGCAAATGGTATTGACTTTGAAGCCGCAAATTTAACTCTTCCTTAAAAGCTAGGTCATTATAGAAAGCTTTACAAATATAAATTAACAACATTCTCGAGTTGTAGCATCATAACGGTGAAAGTAGCGGTGGTAGGAATCCAGGCAGGTAGTCGAACCCAAAAGATAATCCCTTGGTCCCTTTTTATAAGCAACAGCTACCATCTCTTTTTTGTCTCTAAGTATAAACAACATTTATAAGTTGTCTTAAATTTTTGTAGTGAATTCCCTATTTTACCCTCATTAATTATTTATTTTAATACTCAATATATTTATTATCTCGTTTCCTAAACCATTATCTTTCTATCACACGTTTTCTTTTTTATATAATTCTCTTTGTTATAATAATTTTCTTATTCTCTCTCTTATACTCTCTCCCCCTCATAAATAAGGGCATTTTAGTGAAAATTTTTTTAATTTCTACATATTTATTGTCTTGAACTAATTTTAACAAATATTTTGACCTATGTGATTAGTTCCAATGTTACTTAAATAATCAATAAAATCAATAGACATAACTAAAATTCGGAAAATCATGCGACGTGTAAATGAGCTATTCAAACATAACTCAAACATAACTATACGGGATTAGACATAAAAGTCAACAAATGCATTAATTAAATCAATAAAATCATTACTTGGAGGCTGGGATGGGAGTATAATAATCGATAATTATAAGCTTGTATCTCGTTTATGAAGAGTTACGTAGAGTTCTTAGCAGCGGCTTTACCTCGCGCTTCTCGGTACCTCCGGCTCGAGCTCTGAGGGCAAATCCAGAAACCCATGAAGCCTATCGAAGGTGACGTGGGAGACATGGCGAACCTCCGTCGGCCAGCTGATATCCATGGAAGAATCATCCTCCTTCTCTACACTACAGGTTACCAGCGATTTTTTCAGCGCCTCCACCACGGTGTCTAGCATCGCAAAATGAGATTGATTATTATCAGCAACACCAACTTTTGAGATGGATTTTCTCGAATCATCATCTCCGACCAACTCGTCTTCCGCTTCCTCCTGCTTTTTGAAATTGCAGAGAGATGGACTCAGAGGAGATGGGCTGAACTCAGTGCGACGAACAAATTCCCAGGATTTAGATCGAAATAGCCGAGTCATGGGGTTAATTGACTGGCAAGCAATAATGGGTTCGTTTTAAGAGGATGTTACGAGAGTGGCTGTAGACAGAAAAGAAAAACAAACGGAAAAAAGAAAGGAATGAAATTTCGAGGGGAATGGGAGATGGAACAAGAGGAAGAAGAGGATGATATTAATTGGGAGAGATAGGATTAGTGACTATTGGGATTGGAATGCGATGGTTTGCTGACAAAATTAAATAATTGATATGGACATGGTTGCAGTGATTTTGTTTGGATGTAGGGGTAAAGAGAAAAAAGATGGAATGATGAGCGCCAGAAAATTGCAGGAGACGGAGGAAGAGACAGAGGGAGTGAGGTAGGAGACGCAGAGAAATACAAAACACGTCAGGGAGCTGTTAGCTAATTATAGAGAGATCCGTGAGCCCCTGAAATCCTGCAAGCCAGAATCCTTGACTCATTCCGTGATAATTCGGGATGGGATCCAATCAGCGAAACCAGGAAAACTGTACTTAGTTTTCTTTTCTTTCTTTTTTTTTAAAAAAAAGGAAAGTACATAGCAGTTAGTTCCTCCCCCCCCAAAAAAAAAAAGCGGTTAGTTACTTACGTGGCCTAGGCTTGACACTGTTAAGCGAATTGGACCTGGAAACGGGCTTCATAATGTTGGGCCCGTGCCTTAAAAAAAGGGCCTTTTGGAACAGCCCAACGAGTCAACTCATATTTCTGGCTTTAGCCCTGCAGGTATATTTCCAAACTATATTCTTGTTTTTGTTTGGAAATTTTATATTTTATATTACTTAATATTGACATTGATGATTTATGCTTTTTATTAAATTAAATTTCCTTGATTATAGCTATTTATATGAATTCTTTTGGACTGTCTTTGGATGGATAGATAGATTTGGATTTGGATTTTGGATTTAAAATCTCACATCTAAAATTTATGTAGTTAAAATCTTTTTGTTGGGGTTCACATTGAAAATGACAATGTTAACGTAAGTATTTGAAATAACAGGGTTAAAATGAAGACTTGAAATTCTAAAATATTATGATAATAAATCCATAAGTTTTTATCAACTCAAGTAATGGGTTCAAATAAAAGAAAGCAAGAAGCAGCAAATCAAAGAACAGAATCGCATGGCGTTTGCCTGTGCGGGCCCCTGTCTCCATCTCTCAAAATCAAAAACCAACGAGATAAGAATCCATCACCATGCCAACGCCCCCCGGAGGCAAAAATGAGGCAGTTTATATGGTTTAGTTATAGTTATTAGTCGTAGCTATGGTTTTTAAGACAAGCTTTGAGACTCGAGAGAGCACTGTGAAACAAGATTGTTGACCTAAACATTCTCCTTGTCTCCAACAGAAGTGGTCAAATCTCATTTGGAAAGAATGATCAAGTCCTTGTATTTACTCAAGCAAGGAAGGTTACAGAGATTATGCAGGCGGCAGACTTTAATCTGTTCGCAAGATACAGCAGATAAAGCAATAGGAAAGCAGAATACACAGAAAGAAATAATTCATTCAATCATGGTGGAAGGAGATGGAAGGTTCCCTTCCTATTAGTTAAAGCTTAATACCAGTGAATACTGATATGAAGACATATAAAGAAATAATCCATTGATTATCTGCTCTGTTTGCTTGCACATATTCCGCCTGAAGAAGTGAAGATTCTGATATGAAGCTACTTGATTTGGTACTGTAAATGTGAGTATGTAGCTGAGAAGGGAACTGTGATAAGAGGAATTCGATTAATTTGTACGAACCAACAGTGATTTGTTGACTAGAAACACAGCATGAGGAACTCGTGCTTGTGTGGCGCAGCAGAGGCTGCCTCCACCAAGAACAGGAGGGCGCAAATACATATAGGTAGGTAGGTCCCTTCCCTCACTTGCGTTACTATTTTCTTTCTGTGAAAGTTCATTCATTTTCATGCTGGTCCCATCTGCCCTACACGAATCTCCTGTTCCATTAATGCCAAATCTTTTTTGCCGCACAGATCTCATGTGTGTTTTTCTGAAACTTGTCCTATTTAATCACACTACACAACACAGTGAGTCAGTGACGGGTAAGGGATGAGATGAGATGAGGTTTATGAGGCTATATAGTTAGGTAGAATAAGCGTATATACAAATAATGATGGATTGAGCTTATCTTCAATGCCTTGTTGTGCTTTGGCAGCTTGCGTGATTAATTTGATCCTCACTATTATTAAACTAATTAATCTTGATTAGTCAGCTGATTGGACTCACGTGCGATTTCAGTTTGAAGCGATAATTAAATACCTGACCCCAGCTATTAATTAATGCTGTTGAGAGCAAAGGGAGTGATTTTGTGGCTTTTTTTTTTGGACCTGAACTTTGTGGCATTTGCTGAGGTAAGCATGACGCCCATAAGATCAAACATAGGCCTCCTAATTAATGTTATTTTCGGTTCTGATTATAAAATCTCGTTTACAATCTTATAACGGAGGTAGTATTTCACCTTGCTGCAGAAGAATAGGACTCTGAACAATTTAGTTATTTGAGAGAAAATAATGAGAAGCAACCAAAGATTAGTTGAAGCCCTACCCGAGGGCGCTGCAGTCAATGGCTGCTGCTAAATTTTGACAAAACAAGTTCTCATTCTGAACCTTTGGGAACGTTGTCATGCTGCTCTTCCAAGTAAGCAAATTAATTAAATATGAGAGTTTAATTTGTAAATATTAAGTATATTAAAACATATTAGTATTAAATGAATTTTAAGGGACTCATTTAATTTATATTTAATATTTTCAATTTAAGATTTAATTATTTTACAGTATTTCAAATGATCCCTATTAAAAAGCGCACCACACTGACTGGTTTTGGGAAAAAGGACTAGGAGAGATGCGGACGATGATGAGAACACGGGAATGAGGAAGGAGTATGATAACTTGGACTAGAAAATGGATGCTCTCATCCAGTGTCACATTTGTGCACTTTTTTTGACCAATTAAATCTAAGAACTTTGGATTCGGTGCTCTTTTTCTTTTTATTTTCCCCTCTTTTCTGGAGACACAAGGGGGAAAAAAAAGAAAGGTAGAGTAAAATCTCAACATGCCTAAAACAGAAATTCAAAAGAAAACCCAACAGGAAACCCTCGTTTCGGGGCCTTAGCACTGACATGGTGGGCAAAGCAAACAAACAGCAAAATAAACTAAATTCTTTTTTTTTTTTCAAGCCAGCTGACTGCTACAAAATAATATGATAGGGGATGAAAACGAAAAAGAAAGTAAGTGAAAAGAATATTTTTATTTATGAGATATTTTATGATCTAATAAACTGGTGTTGGTGGACAAGAAATCTGATCGGCTGAATTTAAAGAATAAAAATAACTAAATAATTTTAATTTTTAAGTGTCGTTAGAGTTTATATAAGTTTTCGAAATAGAGGTTGAAATCAAAAGTTCAAATTCTTAGGGTTAAGGTGCGCCCAGCATCCCCAACTATTTTTCCAGGTGCATCCAATGTCCTAAAGTAATTTTTGATGCATCCAGTGTTCCAAACTAATTAAAATGGTGCATCCATTGTCCCAAACTAATTAAAACGGTGCATCCATATCTCCGACTAACAAAAAAGTTAAATTTGACCGTTAACTTGCTGACTCAGCCGAAGGTTGACCGAAAAATCCTACGTGGCGGACACATAGGCATCTGATGTGTATTATTTTGATGAGTTAGGGTGCGCCCAGCACCCGGAATTATTTTTTTAGGTGCGCCCAGTGTCCTAAAGTAATTTTTGGTGCATTCAGTGTCTCAAACTAATTAAAACAGTGCGTGCACATCCTAGGCTAACAGAAAAATCTCGTTTGACCATTACTCCTGTGTGTTTGCCATGTAAGATTTTTTGGTCAACCTTCAGTTGAGTTAGCAAGGTAACGGTCAAACGAGACTTTTCTGTTAGCCTAGAATGTGCACGCACTATTTTAATTAGTTTGGGATATTGGATGCACCAAAAATTACTTTTAGGACATTGGATGCACCTGGAAAAATAGTTCGGGGTGCGGAACGCACCTTAACCTGTCAAAATAATATACATCAGACGCTTATGTGTTCACCACGTAGGATTTTTCAGTCAACCTTCGACTGAGTCAGCAAGTTAACGGTCAAACTTAACTTTTATGTTAACCCGGGATATAGATGCACCGTTTTAATTAGTTTGAAATACTGGATGCACTGAAAATTACTTTAAAACACTGGATGCACCTGAAAAAATAGTTCAGGGTGTTGAGCATACCTTAACCCATTCTCTTATATATAGAAGATGAAAAAAACAAAATTAAAAAGTGGTTTTAAAATGTACTAATATTAGCAGTACGAATATCATAAATTTCAAAGGGTGACATCCCCCTAGTTTACAGGTTGGGACCACAAATGTCGAAATGGTCAAATGTTAGGAAAATTAGAGGGGTCCATCTTTTTACCCAAACTTCCTGATTACATATGTGAAGTTTATGACTCCAGGTCTCCAAGTTTAGTACTGACGATGCCTCTAGATTTTGTAATTTTCTGTGCCACCAAGCCAATTTAATGCGCTCCAAATCACAACACCCCCAACGCAAAGTCACAATTAAAATACTCATCTGTTTCTCCCTTGCGCGGAGCATTTGAGATTTTCAATTTGGGGAGTGTTTGGATAAAAACAAAATCATAATTTCAGAAGTGCTTTTACGGATTACAAAGTAAATATGTGGAGGAGGTTACCTCGTTTTGAAATACTTCTGAAATCACGGTTTTGGAGCACCCAAACAGAGCCTTAATTCTAAAATAAGAACATCATTTTTGTTTTACTCTATATACGTACTCGTCTAGTTTTATTTACAGGGAGAGAGAAGAGATTTTTTGATTTTATTTATAGGATGTTGAATTTTTTTTTTATAAATGTATAATTTTACCTTTCATTTATTAATGTGTTGACTTTATTTACATGAAGTATAGTATATATTAAATAGGAATAAAATTAAAAAGTTATTGAATTTTAAATGAGAATTAATAAAGTTTAAGGTTTTTCTTGATCCGTGTGAAACATATTAAAACTGACTTATAAATAAAATTAGAAAAACATTAAATTTTTGGATTAATGGGCAAATTTGTCTCAAAAATTTGAGCACTTAATTTTTTATCGGTGCAAATTTGAGGCAATGTTACCCTCTATTATTAAAAATATTAACTGTTAGTTTTTTAACAGTATGGAGCGTTAAGTATTAATTATTAAATAATGAGCATTTTCTTCCAAAAAATATTATAATAACCAAACAATTATTTTTTTAAAATTTGTAAATTAATTAAAAGAATTTTATATTCAGAATAAGGGAGAGCACCCCACAATCAAATCCTAGTGATTCTATTACCCCAAAAAAAAA